ATTATTAGCATATAGAAACATAACATTTTAGCATACCAATTTTATATCCTGCAACTTTACTGAATGTATTAGTTCTAACAGTTTTCTGGATACAGTCTTGAGTTTTCTGTATATACCATCTCCAAACAGTGACCATTTTACTTCTTCCTCTCCAACAGGGATACCTTTTATATCTTTTTCTTGCCTAAATGCTCTGGCTAGAACTTCCAATACTGTGTTGAATAGAACTGGCAAGAGTGGGCGTCCTTGCCTTGTTCCTATTCTTAGTGGTGAAAAGCTCAAAGCTTTTCCTCTAAGTGTGATGTTAGCTATTGGCTTGTCCTATAGGACCCTTATCACATTGAGGTATGTTTCCTCTATATGCACTTTGCTGAGTTTTTACCATAAACAGATGCTGAATTCTGTCAAATATTTTTTCTTATCTATTGAGATAATAATTTTTATCCTTCACTTTGTTATCGTGGTATCCACATTGATTTGTGGATAGTGAACCATCCCTAGAATGAACCCCACTTGGTCATGAGGTAGGATCCTTTTAATGTATTGCTGAATATGACTGCTAATGTTTTGTTGAGGATTTTTGCATTTATGTTATTACGAATACTGGCTCTTCTTGTGTCATTCTTTTCTGGTTTTGGTAGCAAGGTGATGCTGGCTTAATAAAGTGAGTTTGGAAGAGTTCACCCTCCTAATTTTTAGAAGAATTTGAGAATTGGTATTAATTCTTCTCTCTGAATATTTGGTAGAATTTGCCAGTGAAGGCATCTGATCCTAAACTTTTGTTGTTGGGAAGTTTTTCACTACTATCAAGGAGATTAAATCCATCTATTCAGATTTATTTCTTCATCAGTCTTGGTGGGTTGTAGGTTTCTAGGAATTTACCCATTCCTTATATGCTGTCCAAGAGGTTAGGTATAACTGTTCATAATAGTCACTTATGATCTTCTGCATTTCTCTGGTACCCAGTGTAACATCTTTCAGTTCTGGTTTTGAGTCCTTTTTGGTAAATCTAGCTAAAGGCCTGTCAAATGTTTTTCAAAGAACCAACTTTTAGTTTCATTGATCTTCTCTATTGTCTTCTCAGTCTCTTTCTTTTGGGAGAGGACAGACGAGATAGAGAATCCCAAGCAACAATCCCCCCAACATGTGGGTTGATCTCACAACCCTGCAGTCATAACCTGAACCGACATCAATAGGCAGATGCTTAACCAACCGAGCTACCCAGGAGCCATCCAGTGCCCCTGGATATTCCCAGTCTCTATTTTTGCTCTAATCATTGTTATTCCCATCTTACTACTAACTTTGGGCTTCATTTGTTCTTTTTTTAGTTCCTTGAGGTATAAAATTAGGTTGAAACTTGTTTCTTGAGGTGAGCATTTATCTCTATGAACTTCCCTCTTAAAACTGCTTTTTGGGGGCACCTGGCTGATTCAATGGGTTAAGTCCCTGCCTTTATCTCAGGTCATGATCCTAGGGTCCTGGGATCCAGCCCTGCATCCAACTCCCTGCTCAGCAGACAATCTGCTTCTCCCCCTCTCTCTGACCCTCCCCCTGCTTGTGCTCTCATTCACTCATCGTCTTTCTCAAAAAAATCTTTAGCGGGGGGAAAAAAAGCATGGAGCCCAACACAGGGCTTAATCCCAGGATCCTGAAATCACAACCTAAGCCAAAATCAAGAATCAGATGTCCAACTAACTGAGCCACCCAGGCGCGCTAGGCCTGTGTCATTCTAAAGCCCATGTTCCCAGGCATCACAATACACTGCCTCCCTAGTCATGGAATTCTTCCTCCTTACCCTTTTCTAAATCTATACCACACCGTCCTACTCTAACCTACTGATTTCTAGCCACTACTGAAGGGATATCATGTACTCACTTCAGCAGCACATACACTAAAATTGGAACCATACAGAAAAGTTTAACACAGTCCCTGAATGAGAATGACACACAAACTCTTGGAATGTTTCATTATTGAAATTAATGAAAATGATCACTTATAAGGAGTGGGAGAAATGAGTAATGGGATAGAGGGTTAGGGGAAAGAGTGACAGACCTCTGAATGTCTTTTAGTATAGTTTTAACTTTCGAATCATGTTAACATTTGATGTATTCAGAAAAAAAAAAAAACAAGGATGGGGGGAAAAGTCCAATTCAAAGAGAAGCAAATGGATTCAACAGCATTTCAAATAAATAACAATTACCTAGTGGGGAAAGGAGCAGGAAAAAACCTATTCCAAGTAACCTCTGAATAGAATACTTTATTTAAGGACACCTGGGTGGCTCAGTTGGTTAAGTGGCTACCTCCGGCTCAGGTCATGATTCCAGTGTCCTGGGATCAAGTCCCACATCGGGCTCCTTGCTTGGCAGGGAACCTGCTTCTCCCTCTGCCTCTGTCTGCCACTCTGTCTGCCTGTGTTCGCGCGTTCTCTCTAACAAATAAATAAATAAAATCTTTAAAAAAAAATACTTTGTTTATATATGTACATTTAGTTTAAATGGGATATTAGGCAACTGATAAAATAATTTTAAACTAATGTCCATACTGTAGTTTTATCAATATTAGATTTTCTGAATTTCACTGTGATACTATAGTTATATAGAGGAAAAACCCTGTGCTTAGTAAGTATATTCTGAAACAGTAAGGACAAAATAGGTGTAATATATACAATCCACTTTTTCAAGTAGTTCAGAAAAATTGTATGTATTTGAATTTAATATACATATACACATGCGTATGAGAGAACAAAACAGCAAATATGGCAAATGGTAAAAACTGGAGAAATGTGTCAAGGGTATTATGGAAGTCCTTACAATCTTTCAGTAAGTTTTAAATTACGACCCCCCTCGATTTTTAGTCTTATTAACCACATACACCGTAGGATATTCATTTCTCTAAGTTGAATTATATGTCAGCAGTTGGCTTATGCTCCACTTTCTCTTTGCCATCATGTACTTTCTCACAGGACTAGTAACAAGTACAGAGGCAGGCCCATGTTCAAGGAGGCATTAAAAAAATAAAGAACACAAGCTCTGAACATCAGAGGTTAAGATCTAAAAAATCCACACGTGCTTGCAAAACTTTTAAGCCCTTTCCTGCTGACATTAGAAAGGCATTGCTGCATGTGCTTCATGTCCTGAGCTTCCCCCAGATAATCCCACATGACTTTCCCAACTCACGATTTTCCATTTGATCACCCACTCAACCTTCGGCACACTCATATCTTTTGCAGAGCTAAAAATAACCACTCTATCAAATGAGAAGTTAAATAAAGTACTATTTACAGTTTAAAAGATAGCTTCCTTAAGACTTTTTTTTAATGATGACAATGCATCAGCAAAGATTTGGGCAAAATAAAAACATGAAATATGTTTTGCTTATGAAATTTATAACTAGTTCTTAGTGAAGTGGATAGGAATGTCAGTCAGCTCTGAAACCAGATCTCTTGAATTCAAATCCTGAGTTTTTCAGCTACGTGACTTTGAAGCAAGTTACTTAACCTCCCTGATCCTGGTTCTATATCTTTAAAACAGAGGTTAATAATACTGCCTACCCACAGGTCAATCTCCCAGATACCATATTGAACAAAAGAAGCCAGAAACAATAGAGCATAGGATTCTACTTAATGAATTTCAAGAACAAGCAAAACTATGGCATTAGAGGTCAGAATAGTGGCTGCCTTTGGCAGGGAAGCAGAGTGACTAGGAAGAGTCACCAGGGAGACTTCTGGGTGGTAGAAATGAAGTTTCCCTTGATCTAGGTGGTGGTTACACAGGTATGAGTACAGTAAGCTATACATTAAAAATTTGTTGTACATCAATAAGAAAAAACATAGTATCAAATTGAACTGTGAGAATTGAGAAAAAGTACATAAAGTGCATAGTACATGATAAGCATTCAATAGAAGTCAGCTGTTTTGCAGTTGTTTAATAGAAGGATTTAAGAAATGAGCCTGGGCGTCTGAGTGGCTCAGTCAGTGAAGTATCTACCTTCGGTTCAGGTCATAATCCCAGCATCCTGGGATCAAGTCCCACATCAGGCTCCCTGCTCAGTGGAAGTCTGCTTCTCCCTCTGCCCCACCCCCTGCTCGTTTTCTCTGGAAAAAAAAAAAAAAAATCTAAAAAAACAAAAAGAGATAAATCTACTTTCCTTTTTATTATTCCTCAGTTCTTAGCTTTTTCATACTATCTCAAACCTTCTCTCATCTTTGCAGCTCTATATTGCTCTCTTTGTACCTAAACAAAGAAATTGCATACCCTCACACTCTAACATGCTCTCTCTTTCAAAGAAATAAATAAAATCTTTTTTAAAAAAATGTTTACACTTAGGGTGCCTGCCTGGCTCAGCTGGTAGAGCATTCAACTCTTGATCTCAGGGTTGTGAGTTTGAGCCCCACACTGCATCTAGACATTACATTTTTTTAAAAGATTTTATTTATTTATTTGACACATAGAGATCACAAGCAGGCAGAGAGGCAGGCAGAGAGAGAGGAAGAGAAGCAGGCTCCCTGCCAAGCAGAGAGCTCCGACACAGGGCTCAATCCCAGGACCCTGGGATCATGACCTGAGCCGAAGGCAGAGGCTTTAACTCACTGAGCCACCCAGGCGCCCCTAGAGATTACTTTAAAAAAAAAAAAAAAAAAAAAAAAAAGTATTATCTCTCTCTCACTTGGAAATTACCCTAAAAAAAACATTGGAAATCAACACAGAAGTCATCAGATATTAATGAGCTACAGACCTACAAGAGCTCATATGGATGAATGGGCACCAGGACCAGACTTTCCTTTTCAGTAAGTTCTAAATTCTAGAGGAAGTTTAAACTGAAGGTAAGAAATTCAAGGAAAGGGTAAACAAAAAAATGAGGTCTTTGCAAGCTTTTTTAAATGAAACCTTATCAAAACATCCCGGCTAAGCCAGCTTTCCAATCTGAAGATTTCTTCGACCTGGTAGATTTTCTTAAATATTACCCTCGGTTAGGTCACATAGTTATTTTTTAAGACTTACCTTTATAAAAGCATAGCCAGTTCCATTTTCTGTAATGGTGAGACCAAGTGAGTCCTCCGACTTATATACATTCACTTCTTTTTGGTTCCCTTTCACATGGGCAAATATGAAATCTTCAAGACCTACATGCGATCCTAAGAGATTTTCCATATCAACTTTAGGTGTGTTTAAAGTGCAATATAAGATCTGTACGAAAGAAAAAAATAGGTTAGCTCAGTTTCAATCACAAAGCATTCTGATCATTAGTTTATAAATATTTGAGTGAACCAGTCCTCGATTTATGATCTAAGAAGTTACATCATTAACCTCAGGTAATATACACTGAGTACTTCCTATAGGCAAGGCTGTATTCTAAACAATTGACAGCCATGATCTCATTTAATCCTCACACTGACTTTAGAAATACATTATCACCTCCAAATTATAAAGGATGAATTTTAGGCTACTGAAAGAAAGTAATTTGCCTAAGACCACAAAGCCTGTGTTTGTCAAGAGCAAAATTCTGAGTTCAGATCATAGTGATTTAAACACCTACATTACCTGCCATTTACAATGCCAAAACCAAAAGTTGTGTTCCCAAGGGCAAGGCCATGACATGTTTACCACAATGAAAATATAAGCAAGACTGTTTTTGAAAACTGGTGATTTTTTTTAAATGAGGAAAATTATGTATCTTGCATTATAGTGCTTGAGAAAAGTAATGAATGAAGTACTAAAATGAAGAGGTCTAAAACAGACCTTAAAGACCACAAATCCAGTTCCTTAATTTTCAAAATAAAGGAACTGAAGTATGGAGAGATGAATGCAATTTGGTCAAATCCACATGATGGTAGGGACGCCTGGGTGGCTGAGTTGTTTAAGCTGCTGCCTTCGGCTCAGGTCATCATCCCAGGGTCCTGGGATCGAGTTCCGCCTTGCTCGGCAAGGAGCCTGCTTCTCTCGCTGCCTCTGCCTGCCTCTCTGCCTGCTTGTGTGCACTCTCTCTCTCTCTCTGGCAAATAAATAAAATCTTTTAAAAAAAAATTCACATGATGGTAGAAACAGCATGAAGAATTGGAATAGTAAAAAGTGGTGTAGAGATTCTAAAGAGACTCGTGTTCACCACATCTTTATTGAAGTTCATTTTCCTTCAAAAATAGGACTTATTTTACTAAAATCTGCAGGGCAGCTCGAAGTTTGTTCACCATGGCCTGGGTAATTTCTGGGGCCCAAATACAAAATTACAGAACAGGAGGAGAAAGAGGGTTGAAAACACATCATTGGTTCAAAAATTAAGTTCAACAAACATTTCCTGAGTACCTATGTCCCAAAGGAAAACATTTTAATACAGGTGTCTTATACCAAAATGGTTAAATGGATTTTTTTTTTATTCTTTTTTACCGTCAAGTAATTTTGCCACAGATGTTTCCAGCCCTTCCTCCAAACCTGAGCCTTGCTTTAGTCCTCCCTTTCAACCCTTTCCCTGTATCCCTGGGTTTCATACCATTCCTGATTCCCACTGGAACTTAAGCCTTAACATATCCATAAGCCTCATAAGGTTCAGAAATGGTGTAACTACTACTTATCAAATGGCCCTTTAAGCCATATCAGAATGTTTCTAAGTTGGAAGAGTTCTGTCACATGGCCAAAAGGTCCAGTGTGGTCAGCAAAACTCTGATCAAATCTGAGAAGTGTATGAAAGGAGCTAGTGATGAGGACAAGAGGCAACTGGGTACCAAAGAATAAAGGCTTACAAAGAAAAACTGGTGTCCCCACGCTTTCCCTTTTTCATCTGTGGTCAGTTGTGCTAACTGACGGATGTTTGATTTAACCCCTTGTGTTCCTGGGCAGGGCATAATATATTTGCTGATCAGAACATGAGCCCAGGGTCCTGGGACTGAGCCTCGCACCGAGACCCACACCTGCATCAGGCTCCCTGCTCACCGAGAAGCCTGCTTCTCCCTCTCCCACTCCCTCTGCTTGTGTTCCCTCCATCTCTCCCTCTTTCTCTCTCTGTGAAATCAATAAAACCTTAAATAAATTTTAAAAAAAAATGGCCCCTATTCCTTATTCTAACTGTGAAATCAATGGTATAATTAGTCCACTTACAAAAATCATTAATAGTGTGGGTAAACGGCCAAGGGAATATGTAGAGAAAACAGCTATTCTGATTTCCTTCCTCAAACAATGATGGGAAGGTGAAGAAACAGTTTTGTTTTGTGTGGTTTTAAGAAGTCAATCTATTAATGTGTTCACAGTGGATCCCAAACACCGTTAATGTAAAAGCAAGTTATCAGTTAGGAAATAAAACATTAAAATCTAATGATGGGGAGCACCTAGGTGGCTCAGTCAGTTAAATGTCTGCCTTCAGCTCAGGTCATGATCTCAGGGTCCTGGGATTGAGCCCCATGGGCTCCCCACTCAGCAGGGAGTCTGCTTTTCCCTCTCCCTCTACTTTCTCCTGCTCGCACTCTCCCTCTGCTCCCTTTCTCTGTCAAATAAGTAAAATCTTAAAAAAAAAAAAAAAACAACACACACACACACACACGCATGCACACATAATGATGATGTAACAGGGCAGGAGAAAAGCCCCAAAAAGGAAATCCCACACAGAGTGGACTTCTAGTCACTATGCTGCTTCATTCCTTTCAATTTTTCACATTTCACTGCAAAGCAAATATTAGATTTCCTGTAGGTATGACCCCTTTCACTGTGCTTTCTCCCTTGCAGAAGAACGTTCCATTCCAGACAGCCAAAAGTTTGCAGGCAAGGTATCTTTTTTTTTTTTTTCTGGAAGACGTGGAGACAGCTATATCCTTCACAGAACAGAGCTCCACAAGAGGCTATGCTGAAAACCTGCAGGAAAGTAACGGTCACTGAGAGGTAGAGTGCAAGCCCTCTACAACAGCAAGTAAAAAAACGCCCTAACTTCAGGTCAGATCTCCATGGGAGAATAAAAACCTAACACTCATAGAATCTCAACACACAACCATCAGCAAATATATCTTTAAGTACGTGATAAAGGGTTAGAAATTCAAACACATCCTCGCTGAAAAATAAGTGATACAGTGCTTTCTGAATGCTGCAAAATTCTTGCTTAATCATCCATCCACCAATCATCCATTAAATACCTGCTTTTCCCCAGGTTCTGTGCTGCACACTATGTATGCAAAGACACACAGTCCCTATACAACAAGGAAATCCCAGGCTCATATACTGCACTGAGGTACAGTAAGGCAACATGAGTCAACTAAAAGAGAGCAAAAGCTATGAATATTTTAAACCAAAAAGAAACTCAAATACATATCTTGAGGTTTCCTATTTCATTCATACATTTCCCTCAATCCAAAATCTAAAATGCGGGCACCCATTCCACCCCTATAATACCCTTACCTATTGAGACTCTGCTCAAATGTAACTGCCCAGGGGCGCCTGGGTGGCTCAGTGGGTTAAAGCCTCTGCCTTCGGCTCAGGTCATGATCCCAGGGTCCTGGGATCGAGCCCCACGTCGGGCTCTCTGCTTGGCAGGGAGCCTGCTTCCTCCTCTCTCTCTCTCTGCCTGCCTCTCAGCCTACTTGTGATCTCTGTCAAATAAATGAATAAAATCTTTAAAAAAAAAAAAAAATGTAACTGCCCAGATGGAATCAATCTTTCCACTTGCTCACATCATTTCAATCTAGTAAGTCATTCAACAGTCTAAGTCACCTTGCCCTTGGGAGTCCTGCTGTTTTAACACATGTATTTGTCATCCTTAGCCTGAGAGGAGATCTTGTCTTGTCCTCTTTCTCCTACAATGGCTAACAAGCACCCCACTCCCTTTGTATCTGAGTGGCATTGACAGCATACATTCACTTACCTCATTTGATATAATATACATGTATACCAGGTTTTATTGTCCTCATTTTGCAGATGAGAAAATTATGATTTTATCCAATGAGCACAGCTAATAAATGTTTATTGTTAGGATAGAAAAAAAAATGATGCACTGTTCAGGTCATATCTGTGTTCCTTTAAGAAATACTGCTTCCACTGTAAGTATACTAGATAAGAGGCAGTAAGACATAGTATTTAGTATATTCTATACCTTCTTGTGAACAAACTAAACTAAATCAAAAGAAAGTAAACTAAATCAAAAGAAAGTAAATATGATACGCAAGGTATCATATTATAAGGTGAGTCATCCATTAGATAAAAGATTTCTGGTAGTTTTTTAACTCTAAAATGAAATCCTTAATGTCTTCTGAGGTATCCGTATTTAGTGCTTTACTACCATTGTCCATTTTCATAAAATAAATGGAATATTCTAGTTTTGCAGTTGTACTCTCCAAGTTCCTGGCTCCCTGAGCAGATACCAGATGGCCTCCCAGGAGTGCCACCCTACTGCTGCCAGCCACCACTACCCACAAAGGAGTCAGCCCAGTGGGGACACTACATTGGACCCCATAGGCAAGAAGCTGCATCAAAAGCTGATGAAACTTATGACCCTTTTTTCTACCTTCCCTGAATCTGACCACCTCTTCAAATGGGTGGGGACCATCATGGAGCAGCTGGCACAGTATATGAAGACCCGAGGTACACGCTCTCCCTAGAGTTTGCCAGTAGCTACCCTTACAATGACCGATACGGTGAAACTCCTCACACCCTGCTACCACCCCAGCGTGACACCCAGGGTAACATCTACCTGGACATCCTGAAGGACAGTGGTCTATCCTGTATGATGTCAGGACCATCCTTCTGTCCATCCAGAGCCTGCTAGGAGAACCCAACATTGATAGACCTTTGAACACACATGCTGCTGAGCTCTGGAAAAACCCCACAGCCTTTAAGAAGTATCTGCAAAGAACCTATTCAAAGCAGGTCTCCATCAAGATCCCTGACTGCCTAGCCTCTCTCCGTGTGTTGTCTTTTTTTTTTCTTTAGATGGTCTTCATTCCTGTCTAGAACTCTGCATCTTAAGCTGTGGTGTCATTTTTGTTTTGTTTTTAAAGATTTTATTTATTCATTTGAGAGAGAGCACATAAGCAGTGGGGAGGGGCAGAGGGAGAGGGAGAAGCAGACTCTCCGCTGAGCAGGGAACCCAATGCAGGGCTCGATCCAAGGACCCTGAGTTCATGACCTGAGCCAAAGGCAAAGGCTTAACCATCTGAGCCACCCAGGCACCACTTGTTTTTGTTCTTTAAATTAAGCCCTTAAGATTGAGCCGTTGT